CCTCAAGTAGCTCCCAGAAGCAGCAGCATGGGTGCTGCCCTGTCTGCAGGTGCCGCCGCTGCATCTCCCGTTGGCCTCGGTTCCTGGCCAACGAGAGCTGCGGGGGCAGCGCTTGGGACGGGGCCAGCGTGCGGAGCCCCCTGGCTGTCCCTACGCATAGGAGCTGGAGAGGGGACATGCCGCTGCTTCCGGGAGACGCCCAGAGTGGGGCAAGCCCCGGACCCCGCTCCCTGGCAGGAGCTCAAGAACCAGATTAAAATGTTTGCAGGGCATAGTTTGCCCACCCCGATCTAGACTGTGTTTCCCTAGTTTGTTTATGATAATGTCAAGTGGGACTGTGCCAAAAGCCTTACTAAGATTAAAGACAGATCTGATACTGACCTACTGCACAGGGGTGTTTTTAATCTACTGTAGGTACTATACAGTCCCCATTACCGTAGTATCTGAGTGACTCACAGGATCAGGGCTGAGGTTCCTAAGGCTCTATGTTCTTGTCCTCTAGGCTCTGCTTCCCCACCACACCAGTGAGCCTCTGTATTGAGCTCCAGTGCATCACTACTGCTGGCCTCCCGTTCACCAGTGCATGCTGGGACCCACTATGGAGCTTGGGCCATCGGACTGGGCTCTGGAGCAGCTCCAGCCCAAGTTGGTTGGAGCACACACAGTCCGGTGGGAGGAGACTGCTACAGGGGAGGGCAGAACTGGGTTAAATTGGTTTCAGAGTAGCAGCCGTGTTAGTCTGTATTCGCAAAAAGAAAAGGAGTATTTGTGGCACCTTTGAGACTAATAAATTGGTTAGTCTCTAAGGTGCCACTAGTACTCCTTTTCTTTTTGGGTTAAATTGGTCCATCTGCCCACTCGGCAGGCACCACAAAATCTGGGTGCGGATTCTAATATGCCAGCATTTGGGATGTTCCACTCCAGGGTTTGATTCAGGACCATCAACTGCAAAGACCTGACCCAGAGAAAGCATTTATAAAATAGACAAATCAAATAACACTTAACACTGCCGTCATGTGTTTCCTGTGGGAACATCTCAAACCAATCAATGAAAGGTGCGTAAATATCTTTATCCCCATTGTACAGATGAGGAAACTTAGGCCTGGAGAAAGGAAGTGACTCTTTCATCATCATCCAGCAAGTCAGTGGCAGAGACTCCCAATTCCCTGCCCTAACCACTAGACTACACTCCTCTCCAGGGCTGAGACTAGAACCCAAGAGGCCCAGCTCTGAATCCAGTGCCCTACCTAGATGATACCCTCTTCCCAGAGCCAAAACCAGAAGCCAGGATTCCTTAATCCCATGCCCCCTGCTCTAACAACTCAACCACCGTGTCCTTCCAGAGCTGGTGATAAACCCTTTTCCCAATGCCCTCCCCACCTTCCAATGCACCAACCCCCAGTGCATTCTTCTGCAGAGCAGAGCCTGCAAAGGGTTAAGTTTGCAATTAGCAGCTCCTTGGGAAGGCAGCACAACACTGAAGCAGGAGGAACTTTTCTTTAAAAAAAAGCCTGAGTGCAAGTCTGCTTTTAAATTCAAATATGCAATATGGGCCAGTGCCTTGGAACCAGACTGAAACAGTGTATTTGGGCAAGGAAACAAGGAATATTTCACTTCAGCTCAGTCCAACCCATCTTGATTTATACAGCACTTTGTGTGGAGAGAAAGAAACATTATCTGAGGGCTTTGCAGCTTTAGTAATTATCCCTCTGCCTACTGCTCCATACAAGGGGCAGGTTACAATGGAAAGGCACATGTCAGAAGGAGGGAATGGCTCCAGGGACTGGCAAAGTTAGGCCAGGTTCTCTCCTCAGGCTCACTGGTTCCAACAGCATCAAATCAGTGAGGACTCAGAGTTGTGACTGTTATGTGTGAGGAGCCCCTTGGATGAAGGCTCAGCGAGGGACCCTGTCTACACCAGAGTGACTACCCCTTGTTAGCAATGGCGCAGCTGAACCCGTGCACAGGTTAGTTACAAGTCATAATAATAATAGTAATAACACCTACCTCTGACATGGCCAGTGTATCCAGGGACAAGCCATGCCCAGCACCATTTCAGTCACCAGCGTTACACCCTGCTCTGATCAGGGTGTATTGGTCACATCTGCATGGCACAGGCATGCACGCAGCACTCACTGAGCTTCCAAAGTCCTGTCCCAGCCTGCACTGGGGTCAGGTCAAATCTAGGCTGGATTAACCAGGGCAGCCTCTTCTCTGGTTGTTCCAAAGTCCTGGTCAGGACTCCAAAGGGGATGTGCGCAGTTACCCTCACGTTGCCTGATGTGCTCATTCAGTGACCTGCATGAAAAGAGTTGGGGAGTCTTGGGCCAGTCCCCAGAGGGCTGGCATGCTCATGACTAACATCCCTTGCCCCAAAGGTCACTCTGGAAATCTTTGCAGTAAGGGCAAGAGCTAACCACTCCGGAGGTTCAGTGAACAACCCTGTGTGTGTGTGTGCAACACCAATAGACCCTGCTCATCGGCAGGTAGGATCGAACCGGGGACCTCTGGAGCTTAGTTGACGAGCCTCTACCGCATAAGCTAAAAGCCAACCGGCTGTTAGCTAAGGCTGTAGAGCAAACTCATTAACCTCTCTCTCAGTGCCACTAGATGGGACAGAACAACACACCCAGGAGGTATGTGGGTTACACACATGCGCATGCACCCTCCAGGGCCAGGCTGGTCAGCATGTGGGGAAGCCCATACTACATGTGCTCCGCAGATCGATACCGTACTTCCGTCTCCAGAGGTGTCAGTCTGACATCTTTTACCAGCAGGTATTCACTTAAACCATCCACCCAACCAACCACAGTGCCAGTTTTCTAAAAGGGTACAGAGTTGCTCAACTGCACCAGCAGAGGGAGCTCAGGGCAGAAAGCACACGGTTTTGTGTCGGTGCTACATAAACACTGGCTATTGATAGCCCACGCACAGTCAGACAATTCAGTGGTGAACGTTAAAAGCCTCTCATACACAAGACTAGATAGAAGATCCAATCCTTCCCTGGTTTCAGAGCTCCTTCCCTGTACTCTTCAACCGCACCCTCCTGGCTATTCCAATGCTCTTTGCAGACTAGCTAAACAGACCCCTTTCAGCTAGCAAGTGCTTTGCTGAGCCAGCTGGGAGAGACACAGGCCAAAGAGCCCCTGGAGGGTGACTTACCCAGATACGCCTGGGTGTCTGCTGGCCACCATCACCTAGAAGCCCAGATGGAGAGCAGCTCCGGGTGCCTGGGGCCATCTGCCATGGCAAAGTTAAAGGCGAAGGACCCACATCACATCTGTGACCTGAAGATTACAGGGCAGCTCCAAGGGCAGAAAGGGGCAGGGATCTATCCACAGGCTACTGATCTGGGGAGGGGGAATGCAACAGGGCACAGAACAACTAGAGTAAGGGAGGTGGGGAGAGAAAACCAAACCTGGGGGACCCAGGTACTAGGTGGCTGGAGTGAGATATGGGATACTGAGAGCAGCAGCATCTCTGGAGGCACCACTGCCATCAGCTGGTTAAATGACAGGATAGGTTTTTCCCAGACACATCCCCCTCACGCAGCCCTTTACCCCACCCCCACATTCTGCACAGTGAGACTCACCTATACAATCACCCTCCTGTGCACAGAGACCCTCACACACCCCTACCTTCCTGCACATGGATACACAACCTCCCCACACCACAAAGATACATTCCTGCCAAGAGACCCATTGCTATGCACCCTTCTGCAGAGACGCACTGTGGTAACACACATAACCATACATCAGCAAACAAACCCACACTCAATAGCCTGCACAGCAAGACAAAATCTATATACTCACCCTACCATGCGCACGCACACGGAGGTGCACAATGGTTGCTGAACTCAAAGAATGACCTGTGGCAGCTCCCATTCCACATCAGGCCAGCCCTGCTCAGGGTTTACAACACTTATATTAGGAAAGCCATTTTTCTTCCTTAAGTCTCCACTTTACCAACACAATGTGCCCAACTTTGATCATTGGTGCCTCCAAAACCACTAAATACCTGGCAGCACTCCCATCTGCCACAGGCCTGCTGTGCCTCTGGCCCTGGGGCAAGCTCCTGTGGGGCTTACAAAATCACCCAAATAGGACTGCCAGCCCTCCAGGATTGTCTGGGAGTCTCCAGGAATTAAAGATTATGTCATGTGATGAAAACCTCCAGGAATACATCCAACCAAAATTGACAACCCTACGCCCAAAGGAGCATACGGGTGTGACATAAACAGCATGACACGAATTAAGCTGAAGCAGAGGTAAAGGGAAACAGTGGTTCTGAGCACTCCATGCTCATACACAGGGTCCCCCAGCTCTTGACTGCGGGGCCAGAAATAGACTCAGAGCAGGGCAGCTTTAATCATAGACTGTAGGGAGTGGAACGCAGGAGAGGGCGCTCCCAGCAGTGAAGCGGGCACAGGAGCTGCTGTTAAGCAACACTCAGCACCTTCCCTTACCTGTGGGTCTCTATCTCTACTTAGCTATTTCTATAATGTGCCCATCATGATGGTATCTGGCCTCAATACACAGTATTACCAACCCCAAACACTCAGGCATCATGTGCCAGGCCCCAAAACTTCATGAGATTGACTTAAAAAGTATGAGGGTATTTAGTAATAATAAATGCGGGGCTATTTTACACATATTCACTGGTCTCCAGGAACGGGGCTTTAAATCAGGAGACTCATGATAAAACCACGAGAGCTGGCAGCACTGGCATGTTCTCTGTACAGCACTCCTAGCCCCTGCCAGATCAATACCCAGGAGACTGAGACTAGTACTTGGACCACGACTTGCATGGCTGGGGAAAGCTCTAACTGCTAGGCCAGTCACTTTATCACCCCCAGCCTGGGATCTGAAGCCAGGTCTCCCACAGGGTAACAGCTTAGAGCTGGGCAAAATATGCCCATTGCTTTTTGTGGGAAAATAATGTTTACACAGGGGGGTGGGGAAGGTTTTATTGTTATGGGTTTTTTTAATTTCCCAATTTGTTTTTCCTGTTTCTTTTGGTTTTGAAAAACATTTTCCGCAACAATTTTCAGTTTTCAGTCACAAATAAATTAAAAAAAGATTGGTTTTCAAAAACTGAAGGCTTTTACCAAAACCCAAAGTCTTTACTGAAAATTTTCAGTTCTAACTTTAAAAAGTGGAAAATTTCAACCCAATTTAAAATCCCCCAGCAAAGTTTCCTTTTTGGATGAAAAAACCATTATTCAAAAAAAAAAAAAAAAAAAAAGTGTCACTGGAAACTTTTCGGCTCGCTCTGCAACAGGAACACGACTCCTTGGGTCCGGAGCCAGTTCCAAAGCACTCCCATCTCCTCCTGGCTTTGGTTCCAAACCCAGCTATCGCATAGCGGGCTGTATGTGGGCCATGCTGCATCACACAGCCCCTGCCAGTTCAGGATCTGAACTCAGAGCTCCTGCATGGTAGGAGAAAGTGCCCATCCTTGGGCCCTGGACTGGTCTCCATGGCATTCCTTGCTCGAGCCAGCATGGGAAGTCTCCCACGTGGCAGGGCAGCTTCTTCTCTTTGGTGTTGTCAGTTTCCTTGAAGAGCCTTTCCTAGAAATGTTGGCGGCAGTACAAGGTGCCATCTGTCTCCCTCCTGGCTCAGAGTTGGGCTCAGACGCAGGTTGTGTCACAGAGTCTTCTGCTGGCCCAAGTTCCCTTTGAGAAGGGGGAGGCAGGCAGGCAAGCGGGTGATATCAGCAGCTCAGCCTCCCTGCATACAGACTGACAGGGGTGGAGGGGCCCAGGTCCAAGGGAGCAGCTACCAGAAGGATCGTCTCGAGGTTAAGAAACTGCAGTGAGATGCAGAAGAGCTGGGTTCAGTTTCAAGCACTGACTCACTGCATGGCGTTGAGAAGTCACTTCCCCAGCTGTAAACTGTGGATCACGATTACAGCCAAGTAAATAACTGATCTCTCAGTTTGGGGAGTTTCCAACTCAGATCATTTTGGAGTGTTTTTCAGCTTACTTTTTAATAGCTACATTTCTAAACAAAATGCCATTTCAAAATGAAAAATCACAGTGTTTAATTTTGAAGTGGCTGCAATCAAATGTTTCCAGTTTTTTTTAATTTCCCCCATTTTTTTCAGCCCAAACATTTCGATAAATTCAACCCGAATAGTTTCATTGTCTTGAAAAATGATATTTTGGGTGAAATTACACTTCCCCCCAATTGTTTTGCCCGACTGTAATAATGATCCTTCCCTACCTCACAGGGGAGTTAGGCTGTACGCACTGCTCTTTGCAAGGGTCTAGGTACCACAGAAAAACCTATCAAGATAGGAAACACATGCCCATCCCAATGGCTAGACAGTTTTTGGGCTAAGTGGATCCTCCAGGGAAGGGGTAAGAACAGGGCTCTGATGGAGCTGCTCCCTGACTTCAATCATCTTAAGGTTTCTGATACATCCCTAAAGGAGCAAAACTGGGTCAGACTGGAGCTCAGGCTCCTTGCCTTGCTGTAGCAGCAGCAGGAGGCCCGGGCAGGTGGCACGAAGTAGATGTTAAGGGAAGTAGGACGAGGAATGGCCTGCAGCAAAAGGTCAGGTGACATGGGCCCCAGGCACTAGATTCTCACAACATTTGCTGTTGGCAGAAGATGCTCTCTGAAGGCCAGGAGGGCAGCTGCCATGGTCCATGCAAGCGTCACTGGAGTCTCTAGGGCACCTCGCCCTATTGATGTGCATCAAAGGGAGGCCTAGTGCTCCCTCCTCAACTGCTGTGAGGCAGGCGCCATAGAGGAGCCGGGAAGCCTGGGATCCTCCATGCAGGATTCCCCCCTCCCAAAACCAAAGACGGAGGACAAAGCTTAGCAAAGCTTGGGGAGAGTGGAGGTTGCTGACAATCAGGGGCCCCAGGTAACCGTGAAGAGGCCAAACAGCAGCCAAGCCCCTACCTGCTGTGCAGCATGATCAGAAATCCAAGGGGGATTCACGCAGCAGAAACCCTGCTTCTCCTTAGGGCTGACAATTGCCCTGGCTGAGACAACAGCTGCCGAACACTGACGAGAGCCCTGGCAAAGAAAGAGGGAGAGCGAGTGAGTGCAGAGTGCACGGCCTTTACCCCAGGCACACCACAGGCCTGAGCCAACAACTCCTGTGCTGCTCCAGCTTGGCACAGCTTATCCTGTCCTAGCTGCTCATTTGCCTAACGGGAACCTCTGGGGAGGCAGCAATCAGGGGCAGCTACAGCCAGTGAGCCTGGCCCCTGGGAAATGGGCCTATGGGGAACAGGGTGTGACTGAACATCTTGGGAGAGGGCATGGGGGCTGCACAGCAAATGGGGAAAGGGCCAGACTCCAGTTAATCCCGTGATGTGGCACTGACCACGTGGCCGCCACAGGGCATCCAAAATCTACAGAGACAAGCAGCCCACTACAGTACAGAGCCAGAGAGCATCAAACCTCAGCTCAGCTCCGAGAGGGCCATAGGCCTACAAGGAGTATAAGTGTCAGAGAGGAATGTGGCTGGCAGACATTTTTTTAACTCATTTCCCCCTCCCCGCCCCCCCCAAAAACAGACTTTTTTTTGGAAAACACACTTTTTGTGAAAAAATTATTATTTTTTGTTTTTTGTTCAGCTGAAATCCCCAAAGGAACATTTTTCAGTGTTCCCTTTTCCCCTCTCCCCCCGTTTACAGTGGCAAAATAGTGGGGGAGAGGTGAAAGCGAAAGAAATGGGGGGAAGTTGAGAGGACTAAAAACCAACATTTTTGGTCACTGAAGATTTTTGATAACGTTCTGAGTGAACAGAAATGCCTCATTTTCAAACCTGCGGAACAAAAACTGGTTTGGAATATTTTAATTTTTCATGAGCAATGTCATCCAATTTTTGCCCAGTTCAAGAGGACAACGGGACCTGGAAGTGCTCAGCACCTCTTAGGAACAGATCTCATATCTCCAGACATGGGAGAAAAAGAACCATAAGAGCCTAAGGTTAGAGACCCAGTCATTGCCTCTGCTCTGCCCACCCATGACAGGAAGGGGTAAGAGCCCTTGGCGAAGTCAGATGGGCATTGAGATAAATGCTGCTGTGGACCATGAGGTCTGATCCAGGCCCCTCGGTCTCTGAATCCCACCCTGAAAAAACAGACAAGCATGAAAACTCATCAGATTTTCCAAGAGCCAGATGGGCCTATTACCCTCTGTATCCCCCCAGCACAGAGCCAAAGGGCAGGGCTTTGTTCCACAGCAGTGCTCTTCCTTCAAGCCTCCCATTGCCACCCCAAAGTTGGATCATACTCTTTGTCTCAGCAACGCCCACACTTTCCCCAAAGCCAGAAGATGGTTTTAATGGTTAGAATCTGCAGACACTTCTCACTCGTAAGGTCACTAGGTTAGTTCATTAGCCTGTGATTTTAGACACCTGAGCTAGGTTCACATTCTGCATGGTTCATAGACTTTAAGGCCAGAAGGAACCATCATGATCATTTGGTCTGACCTCCTGCACATTGCAGGCCACAGAACCTCACCCACTCCACTCCTGTAATAGACCCTGAACCTCTGGCTGAGTTACTGACATCCTCAAATCATGGTTTAAAGACTGCAAGTTACAGAGACACCACGGTTTACATTAATTTAAACCTGCAAGTGACCCATGGCACATGCTGCAGAGGAAGGCAAAAAACCCCATCCATAAGTGAAATAGGTCAAGTAGACAATCCCCAGCAGATCTGTGTTTACAACACAACCTGCACACAATTCACCATGCCACAGCTTCTTCCCACTCACAAAAGATGGATGGAGGCAAAAGAGCCGGGCATCTCCTATGGTACTATATCAATACATAAGAATATTGTCAAGTACAACTTGTTAATTTTATACTATATACTCCAGTCCTGGAACAGGCATGCTCAAATAGCATTCATGCAATCCCTCGTTTTAGGAATCTGAGCCCAAACTTCAATTCCCAGTTCCCAGGATGCAACTCTGTCTCAAGAGTTAACTCCAGCTTGAAAGATTATGGCGGAGAACAAAGTCCTGTACTGATTACCACATCTCCCTGGAAAAAAACACTTCAGAAGACTAACAACAATATAGTGGTTTCCTCCAGGACTAATAATATGCTAGCCTGCGAAGAAGAATTTGTAACACTCTGTGTAACAGCACCATCTAGTGATCCCTGCCAGGACAATTATGTTTCTGCTCCAAAGAGGCCTGGGACTGAGCTAGTGGGGGAAAGGGGCTGGCTGATGATCAGTCAGACTGGAAAGCAGGGGTGCTGCGGATCACTGAAGTGCATTGGCAGAGATGGGGAAGGACAGGGAAGTGTGCACGGAGCTTTCATGTAGTGCTGTAAGCCTGGCCTTAGCCTAGGACTGCCACCCATTCTGGTATTTCTGAGATCATCCTGCTTTCAATGGGGTGAATCCTGTACCCTGCTAGCACAGCTTGAAGGCACATCTAGTACATCTCAGGGTACATTGCCTGCAACATCAGGGGACTGGATTCAACTCAGGAGGTCCCTTCCAGTTCTATGTTCCTGTCTTCAAATGGAAAATGAATCGTGTTGGAAGATGTTTTAGCTAATAGTATGTTAAACATGACTTTGATAAGGACCATTGTGATTAGCCGCAGCCTGGTAGCATGCCTGTCCTTGTCCACACTAAGGAGAACATAATATTAATAGCGTGTTAATTAACAATTTTTTTTTTCATTCTGATGAGCCCTAAGGGACAGTCCTGGGTCCCAAAAATCACTTGGTTGGTGATGCTGCAGCAGCACGTTCTGATACAACACAACGACGTCACAGTAAAACACCATCTGTTGAACTCAGATATACCAACCGAGTGTCATTCTGCAGACATCAGAGTCATAACTGCTGCATTTGGGTTGTAGCCTGCAGGTCCAGGGATTTGCGAGGTAAGGCATAGGCACAAGTTAAGGGAGTAAAGCAATGAGCCTACAAGCTTCAGGCCTGTGAGACAATACCTTAGCTAAACAAGGCATAAGCCCCAAAATCCTTACCATGGGCAGGTAACCAGGAGTCACCCCAGACCCTAAGAGAATGCTGTAATGACTAAACTGCCAACAGGTAACCACCGGATTCTAGTTTATACCCGCTTGGGATATTTTAAGTAAGGAACACCCACACATGTCTGACCACAAGAATGCCATGGTAACTAACTGATGTATATTCTAATAAGCTTGAGGTAAAAGGCCTCATAACCTGTGGGAAAAGGGAATTATAAATAAGGGAAAGGGGAGAAACCCCTACTGAATATGCATTAGGCATAGTGGTGTCAGCAGTTGTATCCCTGCCTGTGTGCTTTGGGGAGGGAGAAACATAGCCCTTGGGAGGTGCCAGGGTGACGGCTACAGATGAGGGTGCTGAGGAAGGAGATGATGATGATGAAAATAATGACTAGCATCTATGAATGTGTGCATGTGTGTGGGTATGAATGTGTGAGTACGCAAAAGGGTATGGATATGTGCATTCATGAATATACATGAATGTGTGTGCAGAAACAGGCATGCTGGAAATCCACATACCTGTACAAATCCACATACATGTTTCAATGCAGGTCTGGCCTTAGGGGCAGGTGATCAGGGTGGTCACCTGGGGTGCCAACTTCTGAGGGCATTGAATCAACAGCTTGATGGGGGAAGGGGGCACCCCATCACCCAGTGTTTGGCCATTTTGGGGTGGAAGGGGGGCTGTTTGGCCATTTCGCCAAGCCTGTTTTTTTTTCTTTAACTCAGCTGTTTGCAGGGCGCCAAAAGCATTTCCCACCCTGAGTGGGACACCTACGGCTGGCCTTGCATGAATGTGTATCATACGTACCCAGGTGAGTACAGATAGGAATGCATTGTGTGTGAATACATGTGCTTTGGTGCCTTGGCAAGGAAATCCTTGTACCATCTCCTATACAGGTGGGTTTCAGAGTAGCAGCCTTGTTCGCCTGTATCCGCAAAAAGAACAGGCGTATTTGTGGCACTTTAGAGACTAACAAATTTATTTGAGCATAAGCTTTCGTGAGCTACAGCTCACTTCAGGTGGGGTGAGTGTTAAAATTGTTCTAACCCAGCAACAGCGCAGGCCGATTCACATAGGGGGCACTGCTGGCAGGACGAAATGGAGAACTCCCACTGGCCAGAGCAAATTCTCAAGGGGAAATGAAACTGCTTTCAGGAAACAGCCTCTTGCTGTGTCTATGCAAAGAGAGAGGGAGGGGAAAGGGGCAAAGTTCTCCCCTGGCCCCCACCAGCCTTCATTCATAATCAGAACGTGACTCGCTTTGGCACCTACTTGCTGCAGGATGGCATGTGTGCGTTCAGCACTTGAGGCTTTCCAGGAATAATAAAGGGGTGGGATGAGAAGGAAAGGAGAGAGACACGTCCTTGGGGGTTGGGAAATGCAGGGAAGACCCCACAAAAGCTTGTCATGAATGTCACCACACATTCCTCACAGAGCGCCAGGCGGAGGTAGGATGCCTTGTTGCTATGACACATTTACTAGGCAGTGAAAGGACAGAGGGGCTGCTAATTCTAAAAGAAATGACATTATAGTCTTCTCCTTCCCTCGCCAGTCCCACCCCCCCACCACACGCACTTGCCTTTTAATCCCCCCCCCCCCTTACAGGTTACAAGCAATATGCACGGGGTAGGAGGGTGGGGGGAGGGGAACAACGGTAAAAAAAACAAATCTGCTTCACAAATTGGTGCTAGTACCAAATGTCCCTTCTTATCAAGGCTGGACGGGTATTCAATTTTCTCTTCAAACGCCTGCCTTCTGAAATGGTAATAGAATTTCAAATCTGGGGGAAAGGGGCGGGGGGAGCTGAATATGTGAGGATAACAATGAGAGAGAGAGAGAGACAAAGGAAGAAATTATACTAAAAACATATAGTTGGAGTCTTTGCAGGAATTAATTAAATACAAATATAAAGAGAAAATTAACAGTCTCATGCTTAGGAAGGGGGAAAAAAGGATTTTTTTTTTAGTTTAATTAACCTTTTTTTGCCTAAGAACAATAAAGGGATGGGGGGGAGGGGAAGAAGACGGCAAAGAGTTCT